TAGGCGCGTTTAGATAATGGCTGCACTGGCCACAACTTCCTGGTCCTCGATGGTCAGTTCATCATTGTTCTTCATGTCTAGTTCTCTATCTTCTGACCTCTAACTCAGAAGTCAGAGAGTGTAGCTTTTCCCTAATAGCTGTTTTGGAAAATCTATGTTTTCTATTTTCTTTTTAACTGTTTTTTTATTTTTCAAAGAGAGGAAATTTTAAAAAATATCTAAAGTCCTTGAAAAATTTTAAGCAGAGGGAAAAGACGACGTTGCATTCTGTTTTGAACATTAGCAAGATCAGATTAGTACTTTTTGACATGCTTATCTTTAAAATTCCCTAAATGTGTTTCTTCTAAGAACTTGCAGCTAAAAGCTTTATAATAATGACATATTTCATCTCAAGAGTAAAAACTGTAAAATACAACCTTATGTAATTCAATGTAATGTGACCTGAGGACTTTCTGAGCAGTCCAGGTCTGAATGGTGGTGTGTCTACATTTGTGTGTCCATAAGCATGTCCATGGTCAGTTTTAGTGTTTCATCACTAAATCATTCCAAAAATTTCACTTGGATGTTAATGCATGTTTACAGCATGTTTGTAAGCACAGCTGAGGATGGTGTTTACCACTGCATTGCATCACTCTCACTTTCAGCACCAATGTGGAGGAACTGGATGACTGAAAAGTCCTTCGCTTTGCCGCAGTCCATCTTAAATAAGCTTAAAGTTAGATTAGGCAAGGTTTCTGGATTTTGATTATATGTGCTTTGTGCCTGGTGGAGTTTCAACTTGGCTTTATAAAAGCAACAAGAACCTGTTTTACTGACAGAAGAGTTGCTGAGCCCATTTTCTTTACAGACTTGAGCTTGTTTGCATTTCAAAGATGTGAACGTTCTCGGTAATTTTACAGCGGAGAATTATGTCTGTGCTGCTGACCCATATGTGTGTTTTATTCATTACTGAGCTCCTTCCCATTACACCTTAATAAAGAGCTTCTTCACAGAATAAATACATTGTGGTGTTTTCTTTCTAGTGCTGTATTATTTTTTGTTCAAATATGTTTTCTACGTTGTTTTTATTTTCTTTTTTACCATTTTCCTGTACTGCATGTGCTCACACCCTCTAAATCTTCGTGTGCAATGCCAAAGTAGCACAGTATTTATTGTTTGCTTCTCTGTTTCTGCTCTCAAAGGTACCAACTTTCTGATCTATTTCAGGAGTATTTTTACATATATTTACCTCTGCTCTATTTTCAAATCATTCAATTTCTCAAATAAGCTACGCGGGTGCATTGAATTCCGATAAACTTTGAAGTATAACCAAACATGGATCTTCTAAGCCTCTTTTAGTCCAGCATAAATACTAAATATTGGATTTGTATTGATATATGACAATTAAATCCATAGGCTGTTGACTGAAACATTCTGATGGTGCATTATAAAAATATTTAAATATTATTGATATAATGGTCAAAACTGGAATAAGACTTGTTAACAGATTGATTTAATATTGTGGAAATCAGTGTATTGATTATAACTGGACATTATATGTATAAAGATAATCATAGCTTTTACACATGAAGAAGTGAAATGCAGACCTTATTACGAAATCTGATTCCAACTTTTTCACCCTTTGTTGAGTTAAAATCACAATATGTTTCATGGGATTTCATGTGATTAACACAAAGCATTGCATAATTGTGAAGTTGAAATAAAATAACTTTTTTGTTTTTACAAAACAAGTGATGTGCAGATTTGTTCAGTCATATCAATCAATACATTGAAGAACTTCTCATATCAATTAAAGCTGTATGTCTCTGGAGGTTTTTCTTTGCTTTTCTTCTCTGTTCAGGTCAATAAGATGAAGGGAACATTCTGCCACACCACCATGATTTCATCCAAGTATTTCCTCTCCCTGGTCCTCAAGGCACGCTGCGTTTTAGGTCAGAGGTTTGGAACCTCAGCTAAATCAGTTCATGCAGTCAAGTTCGCCAGTATGTTGCCAGCAACCTTATCATTTGACTCAGATGTGCTGAAACGGAGACACATGTAAACATTGCAGGACACCAACCCTTCAGTTGCAGAAGTCAAATTCAACTTTTTAAACGAGACTTGTTTTCTAGCTTTTATTTGGCTTTTTTTTTTTGCCATAAAGGACAGATTAATGAAGGGCAAAAAAATAAAAAATACTTGAACGGTCAAGTCTTGCTAGATTTTTGCAGTTGTAAATTACTTATTTAATTTTCAGATGATGGAACATTGCTCTGGGAGTTGGTCAAAACGTGGGATGTCATTTTATAACCTAACTTTGCTTAATCTTTACAAAAGTTATCTCTGGCCCAACTGTGTTCCTTGGTTTTCATGATCCTGTAAGTTCCTTAATATTCTTCTGAGGTCTTCAGAGAGCAGATTTTTTATGTATTGAGATGAAATCAAGTTCAGTTAGGTTCTATTTACAAGTATGGTGATCTCTGAATGTAGTTGGTTGCAGGGGATTTATTTGAGTTTGAGTTAAAATTTATTTTAATAAGGTTTTAAAATAAAAAACAGTTACTGTATATACAAACAAAATAAATTTAAAACAAAAGCAGACAAAACAAAAAGAATATCAGTGGTAAAGTATATTTACACATTCAAATATGCTATCCTCAAATATGGAGGCTGAACTCAGACCTTTGCCACACTTTTCAGATTTGGAATTTTTCAAAAGGTTGTGGAAAAATTTCTTCCTACAGCAAAGTTTGTGATTGTAATTCAAAAGAATGTCACAAAAAGGAAAACAAGTATTTAATATATCTTTGCATTAATTAAAACATTAATTAAACAGCCCGTGGTAACTTGCAATCTTGTCAGCAGTAGACTCTTTGTGACGTGAACTGAACACTGCATACTAAATGTTTTGTTGCGTTTTCTGCCCCCTGCTGGTCAAAGATTTGTATTTTAGATAATTTAATCGAACGTTAAATTAACATTTCAATAAAAATCACCTTGAATTCATTAATTTTTTTCCAGCAGATGCAAACCACTACATTCCTTGATTTATACTTTTTTTTTTTTGTCCTTTCAGAAAAAGACACAAAATAATTGAAGAGTCTCATGTTGTTACATCTGGAAATTCAAAAAAAAGAGAGAGGGTGATATGTAATGCCCTACCAACTAAGCTGCAGTGCTTAGATGAACCCTCCTTTCAATCGTCTGTTCAACTTCGTTCGCTCATGACTGTTGGTGAAAATGAATGACAGACCTGGAGGCAGTAGCATCAGTTCTTGGGACACTGTGAGCATTCATGGAGGCTAATAATCCCACGAGACAGAAGGCCTCTGGGTCTCCCTTTGAACCACAGGCCATTCAACATGGGGACAGGGAAACATCTCCCCACCGCTTTATGGTCACCAGCATTTCATTTGCAATCTAAATCTACAACACAGAGTGTTCCAGAGTCACATCAAAGGGCTTTTTGATAGCTAGGATAGAGCACAGACTTGAAATAAAATGGCTAATTACTAGTGTTGATTAGTAGGCCATGTAAGCCACAGACTAATTGGATTGCACAATGAGGAACGGCTTTTGTTTTCTGCGCATTTTAATGAAGCCTCTCTTTTTCAACCAACAAAGACTGAAATGTTGAAGCAAATTTTTTTGTTTACCTCAGTAAAAATAGAGACTCACATAAATATGCACCCAGATTCAAACACAAGCTTGAATGTTTTGGTTTTTGGATCTGAACTAAGTTATGTGTAATCCAACACACCACCAGTCACTCCTCAACTTCTCAGAGATTTTATTTTATTTTCAGTCTGTCTATGAGGTTAAAACCTCAATCTTAAGTACGCATCAATCTCAACGAATTAGGCTGCATTTTATTATGATGCCAAGTTAAGGAGAGCAAAGTCAAACAAAGAACTCAAAGGGAACATTTAAGGTTTTTCCATTTCTACTTCAAACACTGGTGTAGCTCAAATAATTAGAACAACAGTTAAATTTGTTTGTTGCAGTAATTTCATTCAAAAATTAAAACTAATTTATGTAATAGCTTCAGTATTCTAATTGTTTAGTTCAGCAAATTTTGATGATTACAGCTAATAAAAATCCAAAACTCTGTTTCTTAGAGAAAAGTTTAAAATTACAGTGTAAAACCAAGTCGGTTTTTACAAATACAAAACTGTTAGCTACTGAAAAATACACATGATGCACAATAAAAGCTCAATGCCTTCTGAATTATGTTTCTTAGTTCCTATGATGGATCATAAGAGCAAAATAAATAAATAAATATTGAAATAGACAAGGGTTTAGATCAGCCCCTGATCAACAGAACAATCGATAATATCTTGATAATTATGAATTCATAGCTGATAAAATTAGAAATTCTTGATTTATAAGTTTAAATCTATCTTCAAGCATTTGTGCATCATAAAAAATTACAATATTGTTAAAAATGATAGAAGGTTTTAATGTGCAAATTGTCAACCTACTGAAAAGTTGGCCATGTTCTGCACCACAGCTCTTGGCATAAATTTCTGCATCAGTGCAACAAGCTTGGTGGTTCAGAAAGCATATGCAGCCATTTTGTTGACCAACAAAATGGAGTTGACTACAAGTGCATGCCACACTTTTCAGATTTGTAACTTCATTGTACACATTAAAAAAACGTGTGTATGTTTTATTCCTTGTGCGCTTCAGTTAGGCATCTCAGTAAAACAATTGTTTTCGTGACGTGAAAATTTAAGTCCTGTTTTTGTTGTTGTTTTTATTTATTTATTTATTTATTTATTTATTTTTTGCCATAACAGGTACCATATTTTATTTCATAAAATTTTCCTTTTTATTACAAAAATGTACATAAATTCTTCAGGATAACACAATTAACTCTTGTTCTTCCATGATGGATAAAATATGTCTTGCAGATGCTGAAACGCGCTCACATTCATGACAACAGTGGGGGAGAAGAGGAGGACGGGGGGTTGCTGTCGAGCTCCAGCAGCGGCGGCGGGGGAGAGATTTCTGTACAGGTGTCCTATTTTTTTTTTTCTTCTTCTTCTTCTTCATTCTGACACCTCGGAGACAAGATCCGACTATAAGCAGCCTAACACTGCTAAGGAGGAATCGAAGCAGATAAAAATAATAAACGATCCGCCTTGAAAAGAGCCGCGGCGGAGAAGATCTGCCCGTCTGGATGAGAGAACCCCGCTGGGTGAAGACACGCCGCCGACGACAGGAGCCGAGGCACGGATGGAAACCGAGCGCAGCGCAGAGGAGGCGGCATCATCAGGCAAATTATCGCCTCGCTGATCATCTCAAAGCGTTTCATGCATCAGTAACAGATTAGCGGCTGGTGATATTTTCTGTCCGCCGGAGGCTGGGACGGCGGCATCTGCAGTCGCCAAATTCCATTTTTCATTCTGCAGATGTCGGCTGCAGGAAGGAGAAGAAGAAGAAGAAAATGAAGAAGAAGCGGCCTGTTTTTGTCGGGTGAAGCCTTCGGGGATTAATCACTGATCGCCATGAACGGCGAATCAGTGTGGGTTATCTTCATCTGCTCGTGGATAACTCGCGTGGGCAGCTTTCACGCCTTGCGGGTGATGTTGTCACTTTGGATGAAATACGTTTAAAAACAATAATGTGAGATGTGTATTGAAACTCATTGAGGAAGGAATACCACAGCAGCAGATGGGCTGGTGTTAGATGATGATCAGTATGGGACTGACCTGACTTTGTGTCAACACTCTGCTGGGTGCCAGCCGGAAGATGTCATCCTCCCAGGCACCTGGTTTGGGCTCCAATTTCACTGATGATCCCCTGGAGTATGGCTTCACACTGTCCAGTCGGGACCCCGTCTGGTCCTCCTTGGCTGACAGCGTGGTGAGGGTGGTGCTCATATCTGTGATTGTGTGCCTCTCTTTGTTTGGGAATGTGGTCGTTCTCCTGGTTTTCCAAAGGAAGCCTCAGCTCCTTCACGTCGCCAACCGCTTTGTCCTCAACCTCCTCCTGGCGGATCTCCTCCAGACCGTCTTAGTCATGCCGTTTGCCATTGCGGCTGCCTTGCCAGGTGTGTGGCCGCTGGATGCTCGGCTGTGCCAGGCTCTGGTGGTTCTCATGCACCTTTTTGCATTCACCGGAGTCAACACCATCATTGTTGTCTCAGTGGATCGCTACCTGGCCATCATCCACCCTCTATCTTATCCGACCCGCATGACCCCACACTTAGGCACCAATCTGATAATTGCCACCTGGGTGCTGAGCGTCTTGCAGAGTACACCCCCTCTCTACGGCTGGGGCTCCATAGATTTTGACAGTCATTACAAGGTCTGCACAGTGGTGTGGTCCTCCAGCTGGTCCTATTCTGCTCTGGTGTTCACCTTCTCCTTTTGGCTTCCAGTGCTAATCATGCTCGGATGCTACTGGATGGTGTTTAGAGCTGCTAGGAGACAGAATGCATTAGTGCATCCCATTCAGACGCAATCATACTCCCAGCCTTGCCAGCAGGAATTTCAGGGCCCCACCAGTCCGCAGCAGCTTTCTTTACCCCAGCAGGCAAGTTCACCTGAGGGCCCCTATACAGCCCGAAAACACCCTGTTCGAGTTAAACACAGACGGTTCCACTACCACTGCAAGGCAGCTCGTGTAGTATTTGTCATCATGGCTTCATATATCTTCAGTATGGGTCCCTACATCATTCTGAATACCATTTCGATGAGCACCAGAGCCAATGTGTCCCCATGGTTGTCCTCCACTGCCCTTGTGCTATTCTTCTTGCAGTGCTGCCTTCATCCGTACATTTATGGCTACATGCATCGCAGCGTGAGAAAAGAGTTCCTGGCTTTGCTTTATGGGATGCTCTGCAAGCAGGGCCGTCCACGACACAGCTCCACGGTGGAGGGTTGCTTCACCGCGACGGAGGGACACCCCAATGCTCACCCTCACCTCCCCAGTCTGGCTGCTCGAGTTTTCCCCATGCAGACTTGGGAAGAGTGCACAACGTCCTCCTCTCCTACTTGTGAGAGGAAGTCAAGAGACAGCCGCAGAGAGACCACCTCTACCAGTTTCAGCTCAGAGAGAGAGCTTCCTGTTCACGGCCAGAAAAGCTCATGATCTGCACTGCAATCATCAGAAAGTAAATCTTTATTCCTATGTGAGAAGTTCCTGTGGATGGGAGGCGATAAATGTGGATCTCGCCTACTGAGCTTATAATCAGTGGTACTGAACACATTCTCATTCACTTATCAATCGTTTGATGGTTTGTCTTAAACGGAAAAGTGTGGGCTTTTTGAAATTAGGTTTCCTTAAATAAGAAGATAATATTTTAACAGCAGTAGGTAACTCTCTAGATTGCAGCAGACTCCTACTGTCTTTAAACAGCAAAACACATTTATGTAAACACAGTTTCATGAACCTTTAAATTGCTCTAGTGTTGGCATTGGGTGGTTATTTTCACAGAACTTGGTGCTTACAGTCTGTTTGATTTGTATAGGAAGCTCAGATCTGGGTGAAGGCGTCACATCCAAGAGTTTTCTTGTTGTGATTCGGAAAACTCAACTGGATTTGCTGTTTGTTGTTGTGGTAACCAACTAAATACTGTATTTTCTTCTATTTTATGTGTACAAATTCTAAAGAAACATTGTAACCATTAAATGATATGAAATGTATAGGAGACCTTATACATTTTATGTTATCGGTACAAGGACATAACTGATGGTGCACTCCTTCCTTCCTTCTTTCCTTTTTTCTTTCCTTCTTTCCTTCCTTCCTTCTTTCCTTTTTCCTTCCTTCCTTCCTTTCTTTCTTTCTTTCTTTCTTTCTTTCTTTCTTTCTTTCTTTCTTTCTTCCTTCCTTCCTTCCTTCCTTCCTTCCTTCATTTTCTCTGTTTCTTGTGTAACTAATCAACAGCTCATGTGTTAATAGCGTAGACAACAATGGGTTAAAGGTTTATAAAATGGTGCTCCAAAAAACCTTCTTTCAGATTTTGAGCCTGGAGTTTTTTTAAGATGGTAGAAGACCATATCAGTGTCCCTCTTGGGGCAGCCATTATTTTTAAGCCAATCTGGATTTATATTAAATAAAGTGAGTTATCTACTGCAGTTAAGATATTATCAGAACCTAACCTCAGAAATCCCAAACTATCCCTTTATGCTTCTCCAATGGAGTTTGTCATACAAGGGGGAAAGTTTTGTCCAGTCAAGAGTATCAAAACTGGCTGAGGGTTTTTTAATATGTAAATGCAGTTATAAAAGTTACAACATAGATTGTATGTACAAGACTTGCTGTTGTCATCATGTTCTGTCTGTAAAACCATCATCAGAAGTATCCAATATTGTAATTACTGATGTTTGAGTTTCAAAATGGACCTTTAAAACATTTTTTTAATTTTAACTAATCAATCTAGACCTTTCCCTAAAATGAAATATCATCTTTTTTCTGACACAAACCATTGATATCTTGAATTAATTGTTAGTTTAGCAAGACCTCTCCTCTAGTGTGTTTAATGGGAAGCATGCTGGAGGGCACAGCTTTATTTCCATCATATCAACTCAGGGTGCTGCTCGCAGACTAAGAAAAATGATGTGCCCATATCAATTCAATTTTTAGCTTGTAAATATTAATTTTCTGCAACTCCTCTTAGTCTTGAAGCGCCTTTTTGGAGAATAGAAAGAATGATTCACTGTGCCTGTAAGCGAAAGGACGTAGAAGGGTTATAATTCCCTTTAGTTAATAATATGGACAAACAAACACACGCATCAGTTTCTAGTTTGTTCTGGCAAAACCTGAAGCTTTTTACTTCTCGAGTGTGTCAGATTTGGACTCAGTATTTACTGCCTTTTTAACGATCGCCTTTCTTTAGAGAGTCAGAGTATTTTCTTCAACACCACACAACATGGAGAGCAACGTGTGATAAAAATATAACAGTGTACCAGTTTTTTTAAACAAGCAGCATGCCAGGAGAGCTTATGTAACAGATTTCTTACATTCCATTAAACACATGTAAAGGTGTAAGATACCTCTTTGAGAAAAATTAGAAAGAATTTTGACTCTTCAAAACATCTTTGTTTCATTTAAACATAAATTAAATTCCAGAAGACGACTGGCTTGAATCTGCAAATTTCAGTCAATCTTGAAGGTGTCCATTTTGGCGAACGTCCTTCTTTCTCCTCTCTCAGTATATGCAGATGTGATCAGATGTGCCAGAGTTCCAGCAATTTCCATTTCATGGCAGACTTTCCTTAAAATCTTAACCAATTTCTTTTCACATAAAAGTGAATGTTTGGTTCCAAGAGGTGGCATATCTTAACAAATTGCACTTAGGTACAGTTATTTGAATCAATAATCTTAAAATCTTTGGTTGTTTAGAGGATCAATCTTTCCTTTGGACTTTCCCATTGATCTGAGTATTGATCTGTTTGATGAAGTTATACAATCATTCCATGGTGGACAGATACTAAAGCATATTATTTAAAACCTCTGAATGTGTTCCTGGCCCTGCTGAGTGTATGTAAATGTCTGACTGCACCAACAGTGTTACAGAGAAAAGTATATTTAGGAAGCCGTAAGCTTGACTAGGGCTCATTTTAACAGCAGGTTTTCCCTTTGTTTTGGTATTTCTATAACTATTTGTTAAAGGAAAAATTGTTTTTCCCCTAGTGTGTTATTTTTCATACTATATTGTAATAGATTTGTATGTTTTTTTTTCTTTCTGTTACCTGCCTTTGTTATAAACCTGTATTTATCCAGAAGGTCAGTAGAGAAAACATATTTGACAATCAAACTTGTCAGAATCTTTCAATAGAAGTTTGCATTGCAGCAAATAAGAGAAAATGTTTAGACTTTGAAAACTACATATTTTGTGCATTTGTATTAATTTGGTTGGAATAATAAATGCTGTTTGTTGTTTAATAATAAACTGTATGTAATGTATAAGAAAAATAATGTCATGTTACATTGAGGTTTGTCCAAGAAATATTTAAAATCAGGATTTCTTTCTGTCTTCAGTTAGTCACACTTAGTTTTAATTAAATGGATAAATTATACAAATTAATTTATCACCAGTATATTACGATATACTCATTTGAATTACTGCATCAACAGTTTGAAATACAACATCTTAATCTGCTTTCCATGTAGTTTTATAATAGAAAACGTTGCATGAGATCATTACTGAATGGGAGCTGCTAGTCTAAAGTCCAGAGATAAGTAGAAAGAAGTGACATTTTATAGTAACTCAAAAACAATACCACCATTTTCCCTTTAAATTAATTACATTTATTTGTAAAGTTTCCACCTCTGATGAAGACTCCCCAATGCTAGAAGCACACAGCAGTGGTGCTTATGCAATTAACAGCTTAACTTTAGAGATCATTAAGGGATGCATCTCAATGGAGTACATAGTAAGTAACTTCATGGTCTGCATTGCAATTAAAGTTGGAATTTTTTTTTCTGTGAGCAAACACATTGAAATATTCTTAATATGTAACACACTGCAGTCACTCTAACACAGGCGTGCCTTCAGAACCTGCATCATCCTTCTACTCTACAGAATCTTAATTTGAAGAAAATGGAAATCATCATACCGGTGTCAGTGTTTTATATGTTTAAACTACATATTTAAAGGATATTTAAAGGATTTAAGCCCAATTCACACCTACAAATCAAAATATGCAGAAAATGAAAAAACCCCACAAGAGGCTCTCATAATGGTGACAGTCTTTAAGAAGCATTCTCACTCTCCCTCTTTATACAACATATGTACACATTTTGTTTTCCAAATCATTACAGAACAGAAAAAAGGAGGATTTAGCCATGAAAGAATAGAAAAACCAAAACACTAGATATTTCACTTCCTTTAGAAAATTAAAGTAAAACAAATGATTCATGGTGCCAACTTAATCACTGGAACCCTCACTGATTTTCAAGGCGCCATTCAGAAGATAACGGATCAACAGTGAAACAATATGATATACATATATATTTATATTTAAAATGAAAAAACAAAAGCAACAGAGGTTTAAAGCACAAAAAAGGACGGGCTCTGCTCTGTGAGTTTTTCTATCACGTGATGGTTTCAGTTCCAGTCCATTTAGACCACTTCATGACAAAGGCAGCACTGAGGAGCCCAGCGCTGTGGCAGCAAGATGTTAGTCCATGCTTCTGTCCTCTAGTCCACCTTCACCACACTGTAGATCTTATTGACAAACCAGAAGCAAGCAAAGAAGCCAATTGTACCTAAAGGTGGGAGACAGAAAAAATACATGTTAAAAAAATTAATTAACTATGATTTTAACAAGGCAAGATTGGCATAAACTTGAATCCCTGACACAATGAGTTAAAACCCTCAATTATATTATTTCAGCTGTATGAAGGACACAAATTTAATTTTAAAAAAATTTAACAATCAAGAATTATTTTTAACAAAATACTTACTGGTATCTTATAACTCCAAAAGAGAAATATATATTATCATATGAACTGATCTGTTTTTAGAGACTTTGCAAAGGGCACACAAAGTACACTAAAATAGTTTGTAAAATAGTTTCTTCCTTTTATTTGTGGGAAAAATATTCTATATAACTAGAGATAATTTCCCCCAAATTGTAAGTTATTATCTCGACCAAAGACCTGCAATCATTACAACCGTCAGTCCAGCTAAATAAAACTCCTTTAGAGCCAGTAATGCTACAGGAGAATATATAGATATATAAATATCACTGATACTGGTCCTTTTGTTATGTAAAAAAAGAAAAGGAAAAAAAGAGCCTGAATTTATTATTATTATTAGATTGTTGTTCAAAAATAGTTGTATTTTTATTGTAGAAGGTCCAAAAGCAACTTTTCTGGAGTAAAAGTTTGCAAAAGACATAAATGTATTGCCAAAGCCAAATCTTATTAGTCATTATCAATGCCAATATGGGAAAAAGTCTAATTGGGTTTGGGTTGCAAATTTTCTCAGTAAAGAATCTGAATCATTTCATCTGGGTGTAAAACCCTGTCTGACTGCTGAACCACACATAAAGCCCCCAGCAGAAAAAAAGTTGTGATCAAAGTTGGGATGAGATGGCAAAGAGACAACAAAATAAAAAGTGAAAAGAGGATTAGGAGTATTTAAATCAAAACTAGCAGAAAGGAGGGAAACTAATCATCTTTTTCCTGAACTGCAGAACGACTTTGCAGAGATAATCTTTTGACATCTTGTCCGCTTGCTACTTATAGCTCTGACCCAAGACAGTGTCAACCAAAACAGCCGTGACGAGCGTTGCCACGGACTAAATTTTTATCTTGTCTAATGACAGAATAATACCAGGACATATGTCACCATCAACAGCTTGGTGAGCCAAATGATCTTGTGCAACACACAGACTAGGCGGATATGTGCTCATTATTCCCTACTTTATATTATCCTCTTTCTGCTGACAACCTGAATCTCATTTGAGTGGGCAAGAAAGCTCAACAGCGCCACATATATCCGCAACTGGAAAAATCTAGACTATTAATGTGGCTTGTAAGAAACAGCCCTACAGGAAAATGAAATCTAAATTTCAAAGTTTTTCAGCAAAAGGAAGCAGGAAGTGCTCTAAAACTTCCTGGTAGATTGCTTTGTGAACTATGGACTTGATAAAGACTGGACAGAGATCTGGGTGTGATGATGGACTCTGACCTGAATATTAAGAGCCACATAAAGGTACTTACAAAGTCAGCCTTCTATCACCTGAAGAACATTTCCAGGATTAAATGACTAATGTCCCAGAAAGATCTAGAAAAACTCATTCATGTGCTTATCATTAGTTGCATTGATTACTGCAATAGTGTCTTCACAGATTTAATTTAATTTTTTTTAAAAGAGAGCGAGAGAAACAAAGAAAGAGAGAGAGCTGCAGCTGACCCAGAACGCTGCTGCTTGCATTCTCGCTAAAACCAGGAAAATAATCATCAACCCAGTTGGAAAAATCCTTATTTTGGCTGCCCGTAGCTCAGAGAATAGACTTTACAATATTTCTATTAGTTTATAAATCACATAATTACAAACTTCCAAATCTCTCAGTTTTTCTGTTTCTGGTCTGATCTGCATCCTCAGAACCAGAACCAAACATGGAGAAGCTGCATTTTGCTTCTAAGACCCACAAATCTATAACAAGCTTCCAGAAATCTGCAAAACATCTGAAACACCAAGTTCCTTTTAATCAAGACTGAAAACCCACCTACTTAGAGCTGCTTTTGATTAATAATACATACAAATAAACTTGATTGATTGAATCATTTCAGGCCTGCCATCATACCAATTGTGTGTGATTTTTTACTACATTATTCTTTCCACTCAGCTTTACATTAAGCCAGCTTCTTTATCAACAGTTTTTAAGTGACATACCAGATGAAAAAGTCATCAGTGACAACTGACTGTCAGCAGTCTTCCCCAATTCACAGAATAACATTAAACCTGATTTTCAATTGGTCTTAAATTATACTTTCATTTTCTGAGAACTCAATTCTGGATGTTCATTGTAAGCCATTGTCATCTGAATGAACAGAGTCAAACACTTTTGAGTGCAACAATTATTAGTTTTATTGTGGAAATTTAAGTATTGAAATTCATTCCTTTTTCATTGTACCACTTTGTAGATACTTTTTCTTATGTGTGCGAGTACAAAGGGTCACTGAAATGAGAGCAAACAAATGTTGAGTAATTTCCTTATGTCAATTCGTAGAACAGGATTTTGAATGCTGGCAATCTGACTATCCACTGGTATCAGATTACCTTTGAATAGATGGCATAACCCATACTCTTGACTGATTTTAAACTTTCACTGAATGTAATGAGACATAGAACAAACTCATGTCTGCAATACACACCAACAAGGATGAAACAAAACAATTTTCATTAAAAAGTAAAATTCTTACCTGTAAAGAGGAAGAAGATGAGAACCATAATCATAGTGTATCCAAAGTACAGTATAGTGCTTGCCGCGCCAATTATTTGCAGCTTCGAGAAGAAGTAGTGCACAGCATAGATGAAGAGATAGACTGCCGTGAAGCCGCTGGTCAGGAATGAACGCCACCACCAATGGTAGTCCTGGATAAATCAGACAAAAAATGATGAGTTAGGGTCTGCAAAAACAATTAAAAAATAAAAAAATCTAGTCAAAACATTCAGGTACCTCAGCACACAGGTGGAAGTAGCACAGCAGAATTGTGGCCTCAGAGCAGGTGATCAGGAGAATAATGAAAACCAGGAACAGGAACCCAAACATGTAGTACATCTGATGAGACCTAAATCAAAAGTCTTAATTCATTCACCTTGTAAACATGTTTAAGTATATAATATTGGAGTTGGCAATTTTTCAGAAATGGCGGTTATTTGACATTTGTACCAAATGCTGTTGAGGATGAAGAACAGCTGGATGAAGATGCAACCAAAGGGAAGGATGCCACCCATCACGATACCAGGGATGGGCTTAGTGAAGAAGGACTGCTCAGGAATTTGACGAGGGATTTGATTTGTCCGCACCGGTTGCTCAATTGCCTGCGCCAAAAAATAAAAACGTAAAAAAATGAAGGCTTGCAAGAATCCAAAAATAAAAAGGCATTTCTCTATGTTTTGTGAAGATGTAACTCACAGGTTTCTTGAATCCAAAGTAGGCACCAATGAAGGTGAGAGGAACAGAGATTCCAAACCACATGGCCAGAATGGCCACCAAAGTACCGAAGGGGATTGCAGCAGAGGAACCCTCCACCCAAAGGATCAGGTTCATCAGAAAGAAGTCCGCAAATACAATCCTAAAGAAAAAAATAGAAAACTCAATATAAGGGAAAATCATACGCTGGACAAAATCAGTATGCAAGCCTCCAGACCTGCTAAAACAGAAGCGCATAAAATGTGAGCATTTGCTAAGCTAAATAACAAACCCTGGGCACAGGAGAGCTGTCAGCAACACGTTGGTCTTCCATTTTTCACCTCCAAAAGCTGTTAAGAAGGAGAGGAAAGAAGTAATTATTGTGACAGGAACAATGGCAACAAAGTTTGCATGAAAGGTTATACAAAGCTGATTTATCTCTGAGACATCCTACTACATTATCTAAACTGAGAGGGTGACAAATCACAAAACAACTTTTATTTTTTTTATTTTTAAAAAGCTACTTTGTACAACTGTAATTTTCATACAAAGTGGATAATTACTTTTGTAAAGACGTGCAGACACGTAGCCAGCAGGTGTTCCCAGCAGGACCCAGAGAACCACAGCACAAGTCATCAGAGCCCCTCTGTTGGCAGGAGACAGGAATCCAAGACAGGCCAGGACTAAAGTGGGCAGAAAGTCATGAATTCATCATTTCAAACATAATGTATGTAGAATGTAAAAGACAAAGCACTTTAATAGAAAGCCTGGCCAACTTAAGAATGTAAAATGTGTATATTGTATCATAAACTGCATTACATGTACTGTAATTTAAGTTGAAAGCTCTATGCTTAGTACAGATTCAGAACATCTGTTTTCATTTAACTCCCAAAACAATATTCATGATAAAAGTTGGAGTGTTTTGTTGCCGAGTGTGAAGCAGCCGGGATGAGGATCAGTGCTTCCAAATCCGAGACCATGGTCTTCAATTGGAAAAGGGTAGAATGCCTTATTTGGGTCAGGGGGAGTGTCCTGCCCCAAGTGGAAGAGTTCAAGTATCTCGGGGTCTTGTTCACGAATGAGGGAAGAAGGGAGCGGGAGACTGACAGGCGGATTGGCGCGGCGTCTGCTGTACCGGTCCGTCATGGTGAAGAAAGAGTCTGGGCTGCCCTTCTTAAGTTGCTACCCCCATAACCCGACCCCAGATAAAGCAGAAGAAAATGGATGGATGGGTGGGTCATCTGATCAGAATTAGATGACAATTTAAAGAAGCTTTCTCATTTTATTTTGACCATGAGGAAACAGAGAATCATGCTCCAATGCCACATGTTCCTTGAAACCTTGAACACCCTTTATGGGTTGAATTTATTCACAACCATACAAAATTATTTGTTTTCATGCTGTCAAGATAGGGCAGGACGATCTGGTTGACAAACGTATGATACAAGTATTTCACATCAGTCGGTAGATAATTATTGATTTTTTTTTTTGTTTGTTTTAAATATCTGAAATACTACCAAGCTGATTGCAAGACATTAGTTGATGCCACATATCTTGGTCAGCTAGCTATGAAGGGTTTGGATCAGCGTTCAATGAATATTCTATGTACTGAATAGTCTATCAGATGTATTATCTACTGACATTGACCACATGTCAATCACGACATATACTTTTATTGATTTATTGTCCAGCCCTATGCAGCAAAGTTATTTTTAAGCTAACCTTTACATGTTAGCTTAAAAACATCTAGTCTTCAGATAGACATCAACCTAGCTGAAGGTACGTTTGTGTAAACAACTTGCAGGACATTAACAGCAAAACATCTGGACAAACGTGAGAAGAGAGAAATCCTTACAGAGTGTGATGAAGGTCATGATGAAGATCTGGGTGCCCTGTCCAATGAACACAGACAGCAGCATCCCCTTCCTGGGAGGACGGAAAACATCTCCATGCACTTGCTTCCATCCTGACTCCTCCTGTGCGTCTTCCTGGGGGGCAAATGTCAACAGAAGGGTCAAGGGAGAGACTCAAATTTCTACAAGTTCAAAGTCAAAAAGGCTGCCAACCACCAGATACTCATTCCTGCTAGACAAACACATATATGTGAAGACAGGTTTTAAAAAGGTGTAAAATTTGGTGTGAACAAACTAATTTCAAGGAAAAATTATTTTTTTCCCTTTTTCTGACAGATTTAACTCATAGTTTAAAGGTCCACACCACATTTTACATTCCATGTGTTCCGTTTGCCAGAATCATACCCAAGCACCTGATTTGGTTCAATCTTTAAAATGGATTTCATTAAGCTTACATAGGGTAGAGAAGATTTTTCCGTGGCCGGTGTAAGCTTTATCAAGTCTCCCTGTGAAATGTAACAGAATATTTGTAATTTTGGATGCAATGCACTCGTGCTGGGTGGCATTTTACACTGCAGATTTAAAGCATAAGCCACACAAATAAGCACAAGCAGACCAGTGAATGGTGTTACTAAGAAAATAAACTCCAGTCTCCAATGTGTTAGGATTATTTCTTCAGTTAAACCTCTAAATTCCTCATGAAAATCCTTATCTAGAGTGATATGGATCTTCCCCCCTGCTCTGCCTTATTTCACACATGTTTCTATCTGATTAGTCTCAGCAATAAAAGCATTCAATAATAGACACACATTCAATAAATGAAAATACCATTCAAAACTTAATTTCATTCATTCAAAAAGTGACACTCATTCCAATATTTTCTAACTGGTCTGTATTGAAATCTGCACTGGAAAAATACAATATCTGCTGGTGCCTCTGGAACCTCAAGGTGGAGGATCCTCCAGAGGCTTGCAGTGCATGAACCTACTATGGAGCCCCCCTAGCCAGAGCTCACAAGCAGAAACAGTCGCAGTGGGCCCAGCCACACATGAAGATTAATTTTCAAACAGACTTGTTCACTAATGACTGCTGTACAACCCTGGATGGTCCAGATGGATGCAGTAGTGGATTTATGGTGGATGGCCACCACATCCCAACACGGCTGTGACGTTAGCAAGGAGGTAGTGGAGTCATGCTTTGGGCCGAAATCATGAGAAGCATTGGTCGGTTCCTTCAGAGTCCCCGAAGGTGTGAAAATGACCTCAGCAAAATATATGGACTTTCTGACTGATCACTTTCTTTCGTAATTCAAAAAGAAGAGCTTGCATGACAATGCACCATCTCATGCTGCAAGGAATATCACTGTGTCATTGGCTGCTATGGGCATAAAAGGGGAGAAACTCATGGTTGGTCACCATCCTCTTCTGACCTCAACCCTATTGATAACCTTTGGAGTTTCCTGAAGCAGAAGATCTGAGGGTGGGATGCAGTTCATATCAAAACAGCAGCTCTGGGAAGGTATTCTGACATCCTGCAAAGAAATTCAAGTAGAAACTATCCACAAACTCACAAGTTCAGTGGATGCAAGAATTGTGCAGGTGATCTCAAAGAAGGGCTCCTATGTTAACATGTAACTCGTCTGTTAAGATGTTTTTGATTGAAATAGCTTTGATTTTAGTACATGTGACCACTTAATGCTGCACATTCAGAGGATGACTGTTTGCAACTCTTTATAATCCATAAAATGTTTAGAAAATCTGCTGTGCATAATAATTTGAAACAGTGCATTTTGAGTTTTTTATTTTAAAAAAAAAATAAAACTGTTCTCATGGGGAGCTTTGTTCAGTAAAATTTTATTTATGCTATAATAGTTCATAACGTAAAATTATACTCACCATCATTTGCATTGACCATCTAAGAAAATCTGAGAAAATATCACTTGCATAACAATTTGGAGCACAGTCAGGTGTAGTAAGAAAACCACCCTTGTTTAATTAATTGTTAATTTTTATCAGACAGTAATAATAGTCTGTTTGTAATAATTTCCAAAAAGGAAAATGCTGAAGCATTTTTGGTACAAATGGCAATTGAAAATATTCTGGTTTCATAACACCAACAGGGCTCATCTTGTGTGAGTGATAGCAAAAATGATTACGCAAACCTGCACTCAAGAACTTATCATCATAAGAAAGCTAGCTGGACAGCAAAGACAAGCCAGTAACTAACACATACAGACATGTTCTATTGAATAAACACTTTAACGAGAATTACTAGGAAGATATATAGCTTAAGCAAGTTGACCATGTAACACTCTCACTGTGGCTAAAGATTTGCTTAAAAAGTTCTTCCTTGTTGTGACGCAGCTTTTAGTGGGAGTTCCTTGTTAAAACATTCATGTCATCAACAGTCAAACAGAATTTTATTCAAAAAACAACAGCATTTACATATGATGACTGAAAAGGGTCTCATGAACCACCTTATTTGTTTATTCGCATCTATACTGGTTGTGGTTATTAGGGCAAAGTCCTAATGCTGCAATGTAAGTGTAAACCCAATGTACTCCATTGTCTTGTTTCATACAACGCTGATGGCCTGAAAGTTGTGCTTATGCCTTAAGGAAAATACATTTTTTGCAATTTTTGTGAATGCTTTACTCAAACTATAATATTTACTGTTCATGGAAGAAATAATTTGAAAAATTAGAATCTCAAGATCAATTTAAGCTCTTGTAATATCGCATGCAGGATTCTAAAAAAATTTTAAATGTGGCTAAAAAAATATGATAAATGTAAAAGTGTGTTTCTTCTTAGAAGTAACTCTCAAAAGAGCTTGCTTAATAGGAGATTTTCCATCAGAAATGCAGCTGCTTTCATTCACAACATACAAATACAATACCCCGCAATGTATTTTTAGTAGGAATTTTTAGTGCATATCAGAACAGGAAAGTCAAACAGCGCCTTTACCTGATCCACCTGGTTGTATCTGGCAATGTCCTTATGAAGGGTTCTCAGCATGATCATGGCAACCATGCCAGACAGGAAAAGCACAATGACCAAGGAGTTCATGATGCTGTTGAACAAACAAGACACGTCTTAATCCAAATACAGAGAATAATGAGCTCGTCAATAGTAATGGCAGTTTTTTTAAGCAAAAAAGCATTAAAATGTATTCAGACCTAAACCACTGGATGTTGGTATGTGGCATGGAGACCAGGATGTAGTCCCACCGAGAGGCCCATTTGATGGTATTATTTTCCTGTAAAATAAATTTTAGAAAAAGCAATAATCAGGTAACAGTTTTCTCCTTACAGACCATGAACCGGGAGCACATTACTAAAAAGTATAGTCACATATAAAAGGCTTACCTCAAATGTTACAGAATAGGTGTAAACGATTGTTACATCCTCTTTAAAATCCCCTGGCACTTCCATTGGATTTCCTGATTCACAGTTTGGTTTGTTTTCATCTGCTTGTTTGATGCTGTTTGCAAAAAAAAAAAAAGTTAACTTATGTTAAAATGTAATTGTTAAGAACAAAAGCCAACTGTCATTTAGACCATAACCTTAACTATTTGCTGTAAGAGCATCTCAGTGCATAATAACCACTTTATGTTTAAACATGTTTTTGTGTCCTTTAGGACAAAAACAGAAAAACAAGTCTGCAAAAATGGTAGAACACATAAATATTGAGAGTTAATGTCAACTACATCCATTTATTATTAATTTCAGTTTGATATACTAACAATTTCCAAATTGTTATTCCTCACTCGAAATACTTCCGGTCAAATATGTCTATTTTATAAGCAAAGTAAAACCATAGTAGCCTTTCAACCAGCTGCCTGGCAGTGAGCAGCAACAGGGAGAGACAGTGGAGCACTTTGTTGCTCTCTGGTAACTCCTCAGTCAGTAATGAGTATGAATAAAACTTTTTGTGGTTTTTAAATGTGAAACTATTGAAAACCTCTGTGTACAGCCATGTTGAAAGGTGACGTATGCCTGAGTGAGATGCATTGAAAATGTTTTTAATACATAAATAGTAGCTGTTTGTCCATCCACGTCCACTTGGCACTCACCTCTTTGGTTCAAGAGTTGCAGCAACCAGGCGAGCGCCTCGCCAACCTTCAGTTTGTCCGCTGTGGTAAGTGATCTTTATGTCCACATGGTTGAAGACATAAAATGTGTTTTTCTTGTTGAACTCAGACTGAAAAAAGACCAAATTTGTCTCATTAGTCAATATCCATTCCAGCTTTAACTTCACTTGAACATATTGAACTTGTGCTACTGTGTGACAGGTGAAAGTCATAAAATTCATTCAGTTCTTCCATCATATTAATATCTTTCCTTGGTCTCCCAAAATAAGATAAAAAAACATGAAAGCACAAGCAAACTTATAAGTACAATCACCAAAAAAATATTTTTTGGTAAATTAATCTGATCTGAAGGTTCATTCCTTTATTTTAAAAAAAATCTTTGTCTATAACAGTTACCAACTAAAACCTAAACTAAATGAGAGTGCATTTAAAGACAATAAAAACTGTAAGATAAAAATGCATTCTTTTTGCTGCTGCTGTACCCAGTCAAACTGGTATCACTGGTTGGTAAATCCAACTGGTTACATTGACTGCTAGCGTAGCTTTTTTGCTATCAGTTTTACAGTCACTCAGGCTGTTTCTACCAATTTACTTTAAATACACAATGTCATCTCTGTCCTTCTTAAGAGAAAAATACTTTAAAGAAAATAGCTACTAGCTGCTGTTAATTTAATTTCACACATTCCTATAATAAAATCACAATGCAGAAATTAAAAAAAGCAAGAAACCAAAACTCACATTAATTACACAGGCATCTTTTGCTCGACCATCTGTTGTGACAAGACAGCCAATGGGGAAGCCAGGGTTGCAATACTTTTGACCGTCTTCAACGTCATAGCACCATGTCACTGGCATGTTGTCGATAATCCTTGAAAAATACATTTACAATTATAAAGGTTTGCTTAAACACTTTGCTTTGTTCATTTTCTATAAATTAGCACTAATTCTTAAGCAGAACTTAAATCAGCAAGCATCTTCTAATGGCCTGTATCGGCCACTAACCAGTGATGCTGGTAATTCAGCTGCATTCCCATCTTGAGAAAATCCAGTTTTGGTGGATCATCTTTGTTTGCTGTCTTGTAAGTCTTGGTGCAAACTTTCTGGCATTTTACATCTTCTTTAAACTTGAACTGCAAAGACAGACCAACAAAATATTGTGTTTTTTTTTTTTTTGCTGCAATATGGATAAAGATTTTGTAGAATGAATGGTGCATCTCTGAAAACATAGAATGAATGAAACAACAAATATTTGCCATCATTCAGGCTCTCACCTTGTAAGGGGAAGACTCAATTCGCTCACCAAATAGCACCTGTCCCAGGTTCTCCGATGGCCTCTTCTCATGGTCATCTTTGCAGAAGTCAAACCTTTAGCAAATATTTAAATGATCACCCACAGAAAAATGATAATACTGATCAAACCTTTTTATTTTTTTTATCTAAAATATCAAATGACTTACATATCATATTCGTAAGGCAGAACAGACTCCACTGAGTCCAAACGATTAACAAACAGCTCAATCTGCGTCTGCAAAGAAGATACTTTATAATTTAACTTTTACTGAATATTTAAAAAAAAGAAACTAATGAGCCTGAAATGATCCCAAATAGAAAAATAATTATCACACATAGAAACTTTTTTATGACATTAGAGGCAAAACCACAAGACAATGGCTTTTAAGCAATTACTAGAGAGACGAAACAATACAAAGTGCCTAAACATCATCACGATGTGCCAGTATCCTGTTCCAGACATTAGCCGGGGCCTAGAGGACAAGTGGCTAGCTACTGCTATTGCTGCCAGTTGGAAAAAAGACGTTAAAAACACACGGAAAAATTTAGAAACTTCTACTGATGAACACTGACAGAACTTATTAACAATTGCTGCTCCACCGAAAAAAATCATACCTGGCATTCTTCGGTCTCTTTATCACAAAAACTCACGGGAGCTAAACCCGGAAGATAAAACGCCGAGCATGAACTGAAATATACGACTAGAAAATAGACCAATCCAACTGCCAGTCGCGTCTTCATTTTAACGCGGGCGAAGCTCTCCAACGATGCGATATCTTGACGTTAAAGGCGGCGTATCCCCTAGTTTATAAGGGCCTACTGTTCACCGGGTATCTACAGCTGACTAAAAGCCGTCTTGCTAACTCGGGATACGGACACCGATCCAGACTGACAACGTCCCACCTCTGTCAAGCTATGCGGATGTCACGGGGTCTTCCTTTCAAAGTAAAGGTACGAAGGATTCGGTCTGCTCCAAATGTTGGATTTCTGTGTTTTAAGATGATGCAAAACTGCCTATAATACAATTTGTATTAAAATATTTTAAAATATGTTTTACTTATATTATAACGAAATGATCTGGACGCTTAAAGTGAACAGGTATATTTACTATTTGAATTATTTTGACAGGCCTCATATTTTGACACCGTGGAACTTCACGTTGCTTGTCAGCCACCATCAACACCCTTGTTTTCCTCGTTTTTATATCTGAATTAACTGAAAGGAAAAAGATAAAGTATAATTGTAAAAATGTGTTAGAGAAATCCGAATTTTTGTAGAAGAGAGCAGACGGCGTTTAAAATAAATGAAGAGGGGAAATCATTCGTAAATTTAGGAAATAATGTAAATGAAGGATGCCTAGAAAAACCGGAATGATACGTAGCACATATAGAAAAGGAAACGGAAGTTGACAACTTTGCATGGTGAAGGTCTTTTCCAAAATAACTAATTTATGTGCTGGTATTATAGTGCTATTCTGTGTCTAAATAAATAATCAGCCTAGCCTATCACTTCAAATGATATGCATTTTTTTTCACATGTTTTATTTGAGCTTTAGTTCTGTACCATCAACTGTAACTCAGAATTTAAGTGAACAAGATGTACTCACAATCTGATCCTGGGATATTGCAAATATTGATATTGAGAACTTTGTAATTTAGCCTAATTTCTAAGACAGATAGAAAAGTGCTTTTGGAAATGTCCAGCAGGAGACAGTTTTCCATTCTCCACTTACTGAAGGCCCTTGTACTCCATTTCTTTCCTGATATACGCTGAAACATAAGTACTAGCAGAGTACTTCTGAATGTGGCAGATCTCAGAACTGTCTATGGTGTCCAGCATAAACAGGAACGAAACCAGAACTTTTCCGTGAAACCCCAATGTTGCTCTCCACTCTCACAGAAACACAGTTCCAACTGGAGATACTATGAATTCACAGCAACATTTCAAAAACTGGACATATAATTCAGTCTTTCATATTTACTTAAAACAAATAATGAAAGTGGGCAAAATGTAGAAAGTTCCTAATTTAGAAATACCTAATTTTATCCCCAAGCCTTCAGGTTTTTGCTCAAAAAGCAGATTATGAAGACACATCCCAACTATAGAAACAATTTCAGTGTAACAGTACATTTAAATCAATAACAGAAAGGCTTTATCTGAAATTAAATTAAGTGTTGGGTTTCCCAGCCAGAGTTCAACTAAATTTGTAGCACCTATTTTCAATGCAATGTTTAGTCCCATTCAGTGAAAAGTTGTATTTATAACTTTTAACACTGATTTGTGAATCCTTGAGGTTCATAAATTGCACAGATGTCACAAAGTGCTTCACAAAAAGGTAACCCACAAAATGCACAGAAAGTTACAGTGGAGAACACAGAACACAATGTAATCATCCATCCATCCATCCATCCATTATTTTTCTTATTTATTCTTTTTAAGTCAGACAGGAAGTAATGTGGGTCAGTCCACTTTCTATAAATATAGGGGCCTGGTAAAGGACCAGCAGGCATTTGGGTTTGGGGTCTATGGTTTTTACCAGTGCGAGAGAGGTAATCAGGAGAACAAAGGAAAGTTTGAATGCTGTAATTGCTTGCTGAAAAGGAAAATAAAAGCAACCAAAACAGTCAACAAGTTTGGACATAAAACTTTTTTTTGCCTGCGTGAAGAATCTTGACCCCAGTACCTTGTTAGTGCCAACTAACAAGATTCAAATGAATTAAGAAATAAATAATAAATAGCTCCAACACTTATAGACAGCATTCTTGAATTAAAGCGTTTTTATTTATCTGTAGCAGTGCAGAATGACCCTGTCAAAGTCCAGATCCGGATTCGAGAGCGGTTTCAGATGTGCAGCGCCTTGGAGTGCCACTAGGTGGCAGGAGTACGTATTTCAGCTGGAGGAAGGTAAATAGAGGAAGAAGAGCAACCGTTGTTCACCATCATTGTATCCTCCTGAAAGCCTGATAAATTTCGTAGTTCCTCGTTATAGCACGTTGTTAGCCTGCATGCTTTGAGCAGACTAAGTCGGTGTTGTTTTAAGTATTTCCCACGTGGCGCCTTTGTGCTTGTAAACCGCATCGTTTAAGTGTTTTTTTTTTTTTGTAGCTCGTGGGGAAAGTTCTCCAACGTGAATAACTGTTTCGCTGATATTGGTGGCGCGTTTATCGCCATTTTGCGCGTTTAGCGACTCGAAGCCAGCGAAAAGGTATTTATCTAGCAAATGATCCGTTTTTAAGAGAAGTTGTATCGTTCCCGTGCAATATTTTTCCGTGTGATAGTTGACCCGAATGGCATTTTCTTTGTTTTTCAGAATGGCCGAAGCAGACCGACCGGGTAAGCTCTTCATCGGTGGACTCAACACGGAGACCACCGACAAGGCCCTGGAGCAGTACTTCAGCAAATATGGCAGGATCGTCGAAGGTGGGAATGACCCCTCCACAAGTAGAACTCGATTAATTTCCTACTGATTTAACACCGCGTAGAAAGCGCATGTGTTGCTGTATTTAATACACACTTGAAGTTTTATATTTTTAGTTGTGATATTACAGTTTAAATTGCATTATGTCCTTTTGTTTAGCAGTTTTACCAATATCTAAAATGAATACTGAAGACTATGTTTGCGCTCTGATTGATTCATTTTCACTTTCGATAGATATGAGTATTTTTTGTTTGTTTTCAAAAATACTTTGAAAACACACAACGTATTTTGTTTGTTTTCTAAATAGTTTAGCTTCTGAATAAACTATTCAGCTTTTGAAAAGCTAAATAGTTTATGAATGTATAATTAAATGCTGAAATATTAAGCTATTTTATTTTCTTTGCCCAATTACATTGAGGGTTAGGGCTAGCTCTGAATGCCCTAAGCCCCAAAAGTTGCTTAAAATTAGGAACACAGCATCTTGTTATCTCAGTGAATTGTTCAAATAAATGACTTGTACCATTATCCAGGCAAAGGGTACAATTTGCTACTACATAATATTTTCAGAATTAGTCATGGGTTAATTGTCTTGGTATAATAGATGTAGGATGTTTTTATTTTAATGAGAGTTTAATCTTAAGATTAAGTCACAATTTGTCAGTTTTGCTCCCCAAGACTTTGGACTCTGGACATTGGGCATGCTAAATAGAGGTTCAGTGATCAAATATTTTATTTTTTTATTTGAGTACAAATACTAAAAAATGACTGACTTTAAAAGAAAAAGATCCCAATTCGGCCAAACAAATCAAGGTTTTTTTCAGACCTAAACATTGTCCTGACTATGTGAACAGAATACTTGACATTTGACAGCATAGAGATTTGGAATGTTATGTTATCAGTGGGAATCGCAGTTTTAGTAAGTCATTTCAGCACAAACTACATCTTCAGATGGTGACGCATCAACTTTCAAATCAGTAGTTCATACTAAACTTTCAATCAGTGTTTTTTTTTTTGTTGTTGTTTTTTTTAAGTCATTAGGGGGACGCAATAAAATATGAAGTAAAGACAAACTGTTTTGTCTGAAATCTGAAAATGTATTGAAAATTTTGTTTTAAAAAAAAATTTGCTCTCACGTTTTTGTTCTTATGTTTTAGTACTTCTAATGAAGGACCGTGAAACAAACAAATCAAGGGGCTTTGCTTTTGTAACCTTTGAAAGTCCGGCTGATGCAAAAGATGCCGCCCGGGAAATGAATGGAAAGGTGGGTCTTTGTTTTTCTTCTAGATATTATGTTTTGTTAAATTTTGAAGTTCTGATTGTAATTGTGACTTTTTTCCTAACCAGTCTTTGGATGGGAAGCCTATTAAAGTGGAGCAAGCTACTAAGCCTCAGTTTGAGAGTTCTGGCAGACGAGGGCCGCCTATGCATTCTCGAAGCCGGGGTCCTCCCAGAGGGCCCCGTGGGTCAAGGGGAGGAATGAGGGGGCCCCCATCCAGAGGTAAGAAATGAATCAATCAAGTTTTTTTATTTTTTATTTTTGCAAAGTTTGCACACAAACTAGGAATTGGACTTTGGTTTCCTTTTGGTAACAGGCATTTTTAAATATGGACATCTATTGGGAAATTTAAAAAGGTGGATGTTTAATAAGCTTGGATGAATGCTGATATTATGTCCATCTTTTAAGACTACTATGATTCAGAAGATGGAGATGGCTACTATAGTCGGATGTCATCCAGAGGTCCGCCAATGAAACGAGGTCCACCAGTTCGCAATGGGGGTCCTCCACCCAAGAGGTCGGCCCTATCTGGTCCCATGAGTAGGCGTGAGTATTTGAAACGGTCTCAGAATATTCATTTCTTTTTTCCTTGTTTCTCAACGGTTGGGGGATATAACCGTTAACTTGTTGTCATTTCAGCTCCCATGTCCAGAGACAGGGATCCCTATGGCCCTCCACCCCGCAGAGACTCCATGTCCCGTAGAGATGACTATCCATCCCCAAGAGATGACCATTACAACCCTAAGGACGGGTAAGAAATATCAGAACCAGGGTCTATTGTGAATTATTTCTGAGCATAAACAGGAAAATTTACACATGAGATTAAAAAAAAAAAAATACTAAAGGATAATATGGTAAAGTTGTAGAATAAACGCTCCATAAACACTTTTATTGTACCTTGTTGTTGTGATGAACCTAAATAGATTGGTTCTGTTAAATTATTTTTAGATACTCCAGCCGGGATTACAGCTCAAGAGACCGGGACTATGGACCCCCTCCCAGAGATTACTCCTACAGAGAATATTCTAGTTCCGGCTCCAGAGATGACTATGGGTCGATGTCAAGAGGATACAGGTATGCCTGTCACTGTAGTATATTTTGCTTGATGATAAATTACCCAGAAATGATTGTGATGAATAGTATTGATACAATTTGAAAGTAATGTAATGATAAAGAAGTACATTAAAGCTCAATACTTTGAGCTCAATCCAGTTAACACTGAAACTGAAAGAGAT